AAGATAGCAAAAATCAGCCGGATGAGGGATGCGTGCATGTGCTTGTGTGTGTGTGCGTCCTTCTGCCAGGTCTCTAACCAAGACAGCTAGATATTTTCGTTTTGACAATACTGCTACAGAAAATTGTCATTGTCTTGTACAAGATGTTCACTGTACTCTCATCATTTGGATGTTTTGGGATCACTCCCTGGCAGCATGTGACCAGCATGTCTTGATGCCTGCCTCTTTTTCAATTGTTTTAAAGAGAAAGATTGCTGGGGACCCATTTTTTCATCTCACACAGAACCCCTAAAGGGCCAGATTGAATTTCAATACAATATGAGGCAGTATGACATGGCAGATGACAACAGGGCATTAACAAATCTGATCCAACCCGGGGAGATATGATGTAACAGAGTAGAAGCCACACAAACAGGTACTTTCAAAGATGTGGGCAAAGAGGCTTCCATTCTGCTCCCTCTATAGCATAGTGAAATGGTCAGTACAATGTATGTAAAACATGTAGGAAAATGAAATGGTACATGAATATAAAATTGTAATAACAATATCATGACTGAGATTTAGCAGCTTACCCCTAACAACAAAGGTGCTCTGTATTTCTTTGGGGAAATACTTAATATCCCTCTTGCCCTTTCATGAAAATAAACTTCTCATCAGGTGTTATAAAGGGCAAGTGACCAGGTATCCACGTATGGGGTATGGGGTATGAATATTTAGGATGTTCATGTGCTGGTGTTTTCTTCAGTTCCTTTCCCTAATCCAGTGAGCAGATGGTACAGTGGTTAAGGCAGAGGGCTTTGGAGTCATATTATTTAGATACAAATACTAAATTGACAATTACTAACTGCATGAACTTGGATAGTTCCATCATATCTCCTCCATTTCCTCAAGTATAAATTAAAGATAATAATAATACCTCCCTTTTTAGAGTTGTGAAGTTTAAATAAAACCATACATGTAAAATGCAGTTCTTGGCATAGAACAAGTACCCAGTAAATATTAGCTAATCAAAATTAGTCTTTCAGGACTAATTTATTTTGGGGGTCTTCTGGGAGGCCCGAGGAGCAGTTTGCCCAAGGAGAAAGAAGGGAGACATCAGAGCTGGTAAGATGAAAATGGCCTTATGATCATCAGGAAGCAGATGGTGTAACATGCATATGCATCTGACCTGGACATGACTTTGGTCAAAATATTTTAAGATGGTTCCTGACAAATGCCAAATCACTGTCAGAGTACTAGAATCAGTCCCTACCCCAACCCAGCAATTCAGCTGGAAATGGGCCTGCTGTAGGAGTTCTGTGTGACAACAAATGGTGCTTTGCACTCAGCAGTCTCCATTAAGAGGTGCTGAATGAAGCTCAGAGGTTCAGTAGAATGATGCTCCATAAAATTGATTTCCATATCAGTTGTCACCGTCTGAATTCAGATCTGCATTAATAGTACTGTGATAAAAATCTTCTGTCTGGCAATGGTACCTATAATTTTCCCTGCTTCAAACACTGCTCCATAAAATTGCCAGGTGAATCTTTACAGCTCTGATACAGTCACTTTCTTGCTAAACAACCTTTAGGGTCTCCAGATTGACTATAGACTTAATACAAAACTTATTGGTACGGCCTTCAAGGCCTTTCAGAGCCTGATTCCAACCTTCTTTTCATTATCTTTAGAGAATGATGAAATTAATTGTTAGCCAGTAAGCAGGAGGGCTATCATCTTATCCAGTAGGAGCAATGTATAGTTTCATGGTGTATTACCTGTTTTAGTTTTCTCCACGATTCCAATAGAGAGTTCTTAAGAGGCAAGGTAAGGCAAATATTACATAATCTATTTTATAATGGGAAGACTGAGACCCAGATAGAGTAGATAATTTGCCTAGGATGCAAACAGCCAGTCCTAAGTGCTTAGTGTGCCTCTTTTGTCCTCACACACATTGCTTTGGCTCATTTCCACATCCCCACCATTTGCTTCAGATACTACATTTTCTGGGGAGCAGGCTTTGCAACATCGAAGGTTTAACAGTGAGTTCATGAAAATGAAGGTGCTTGGGCTGAGTCTGTGCAGATATGTTTTATCAGGTGCCCTTAAAAGTCAGGTTTCACATAAGTTTCTGAATTTCTGGCTTTCCATGAAAGATCTGAAGGAATGGCAAATTGTGCTCACATTCCCACATAAGCAATGTTGCTTGAGCCAAGTAGAAGCCAACCCCTCTGACCAGGGGTTGGCTTAAGCTTTGCCCAGTGGCTACTGCTTTATAATGCCTGAAGCCTGTCCTTCTTTATTACTTATATTACCTGCCTGGCACAAGTGAGCATCTGAGTTTGCAAAACTTGGTTTAAAAAAAAGAGAAAAATTCCACTATTTCCTAAAGATAAGATGAAACATTTTAATTGAGGAAATGATATGTGATTATTATGTTAGAAGAAAGTCTTTGTTGTTTGCATAAAGATTTGATTTTCCCAGGAGAGTTGATAATGTTTTGGTGTCATTTTTTATTTTTGACAATGGAGCAATTTGACCCCAAACTTGTCTTTTTTAATGAAAATCTTTGCAGGACCTTTTAATTAGGAATTGACAAGGTGATTAACTTATAATTCACAAAAATAAATATGAAAAGGAAAAGTACAGGTCAATTTCTGGCTGTGTTAAACTATAAGGACAGCAACATTGGCAAGTGATTATTCTCTTTTAACAGCTTTTCTAATTTTTCTTAATTGGATCCTTTGGTTTCTAATTGGATAGGGAGTATTGTCACATGGCTTTCAATTACTAGCTGTGGCATGGTGATCCTGTTATATGGCCCTTTCAACATACAGGACGAAATAAATACCATCTCCAAGAAGCTTTCTGTGTGAGTAGGAGAGGGGCAGCCTCCCATGTCTGGGCGAGTCTGTGCAAGACCATGCTGAATTGGGATGTACTTCACTAGCTTGATTGTCCAGGGAGACTGTTTGTACTTGTGCTTTAATTATCTTAAGGCTATAATTTCTTAAAATATGTGCTCATCACAATAGAGAAATGCTTCTAAGAATACAAAATTATCATTTCATTCCTAGAAAATGTTACAAAGTATACACACATACTCATACATACGAACATACAAATGTCTACACAAGAGAATGTCAGTCTCCTCAAAAAGTAATGTTTCTTCTGCCCTCTGATGAATTTAGAGATTCTTTTTCTGATAAAGTTTCACTATAGCTTTCTTATTTTATAACCTCCTTTGGATCTCTTTTGCCTACAGGATTAAATCTAAATATTTTATCATGACCTATATCTGACTCCAACACTTCTCTTTACTTCCATCCTCCAAAATGGCCAGGCCTGCACTCCATCCTGTGTTCACTCAACTTCTCATTTTCCCTTGCAGATATGGAGTCTTTCATAATTCTGTTCATGCCATTCCTGCTACTTAGTATATCTTCTACATTTTTCTTTGCCTGGTAAATCTTATTCATTGGTCAGGATTAGATTGAAAGGCTTACCTTCCCATGGACTCTTTGTCACCTTTGTCACCCAGGCACAATTTGTTCTTTGGTTCTTTGTCAACCACTAAACTTTGTTAGTATCTCTGACTAGCTTCTGCTCATTCATTCATTCATTCATTCATTCAAAAATACCTTTTCATCAATAAAACTGGATAAAAAATACTTTTTGAGCATCTCTATGTATAAGTGCTGAACTCTAGGGCTACCTGGCTACCAAGACGGTGTGGTTCCTGATTGTACTGAAGTGTAACCAGTCCTTAACTGATTGTCTCCCTGACTGGACTGTGAAACTACAGAGGGTAGAGGTATTTGCCTGATTTTATATTTGATCAGTAGAATCTAGTCTTGCACCTGGCTCATACAAGATGAAGAAATACTCATTGTCTTTTCATGTGCTCTGGATGGAGAATATTGATCAGTTTTACAAAATCTAATACTTTAGTGAGTTAAACTACGATACCTATAATCTTGGCTTTTATACTTCGAAGAGTTAGTTGATACAACCATCGATGCTGGCTTTCAGATGTTGTGGAATCTAATGACCTTTTGGTCACACCTTTTTCAGGCCTTTAGAATGTATGTAAGTCAGATCCTGTGTTGGGCACTGTGGCTCAGCACCTTGGAATGGTCTTTTCCCAGAGAGGAAATACAGTCTCTGATTGAATGTCCTTAGCAGTCAGGAACAGGGCACAGCTGGGGTTTGAATCTGGCCTAAATCCCATCCGATTTAAAATCAAGAAGCTGGTGCTTTTGGAGATTATGAATCTGGAACGCTTGCAGTGTTGAAGGGCAGGGAGACCCTCAAAGCAGGTAGTGCTGCTTCTCTTTGGCTGTTGTTGCTGCTTCCCTTGGGCTGATAATTACTTCAAAGATGGCCATGTGAAGGGATAAGATTTTAATGCTGGGAATCCAACCCTACTCCCCCGTCCCACCCTTCAAAAAGAGAAGTAATTAAAGTCTTCAGGAAGGCATAATTGAGAATATGGAATGTCATGGAAATGAGAAGGACTTGAAATAGCCTACCAGAAACTCTTGTTTGACAGCTCCATGTTTTTCTGAAAGGCATAAGTACAACTTTAAATATATGAGCTTAAAGCTGACAAGTCTGTTAGCTCATTGTTACGAATGCCTTTAGATCATGGGGTTCTGCCTCATGTGATTCTCTTTGGCTTTGTGGTATGTGTATATGTCCCACTTGATAAAACCACACTTCAGCATTTATTGTGGTTGTTTCTCTGTTCTTGGCCATGAGCCGATGTACTGGTGCCATTGCCAAAATGAAGACATTCAAGAGGGCAAGGGAAGTCTCTCCTTCCTCAGGCAGTTCTGTGGGAGCTGGAGCTGCGTGCACATGTGGCTGTCTCTTGAGCAGACTCTGCCGTAGACTCCATCTATGCAGGCCCCTGTGCCTCTGAGCTCATTATTGCTCTTGGTGTTTGCTCTTGGATTCGTGCTTCACGTGTTTATTTACATGCTTTATTTTTCATTTTATGAACAAATCAATAACTAGACTTATTCTTTATCATACTGGATTAGTTTTATTTATTCCGTTTGAATTTGATTAAAACATTGTCAAACATAAGTCTACATTTTTATCAGCAGAATATTTTCACAAAACTGAGTTTGAGACGTGTTCAGCTAGAACATACTTTTCAAAATAAAACAATGTTTGATATATCCTAGACAGTTACCCTTTTGTTTATTGATGACAACTGAAACTAACCATCAAATGGAGAAAGCAATCCAAGTCTAGTCAAGTAATCCTTAGGGCATATGAAAAAAGGCCTTTTAAAAAAGATTTTTTCTAGATTGATTTAATGTAATTCACCAATAAAGCATCCTTAGAAGCATAATAAAAATTCTACATAAAATGACACAGCCAAGGGAAAAGGAGGATATACAGTTTGACAAAGCTTCAAAATGGATGTTAACATTAAAATTGAGCAGTCATGCAATTCCTGAATAGCATAAAGATCAAAATTGCAGGGCACTAATTTTGCTTCTAATTTATAAGACAGTATGTTTATGGGGCTGCAAATAGTATATATAAAAAACATATCCAGTGGCAAATGTTCTGAACTGTCATTTTTCTTCAGAAAAAAATTGTCACTCAATGATAATTTGTACATTCTACCATCCAGCACGAAGGATGTCTAGACTATATTTACACATATAAAAATGTTCTTGAAAGATAAAATGTGTCCATTTTCATTAAGAACCTGACCTCTTTGGTTCTATTTAAAATTTATTAATTTCTGCCTTCCTTCCTCTTTTGGTTCTTCTCACATGTAAGAAGCAGTGTGGGAACATGTATGAGGCAGCCAGGGTAATGAGAAGGCTCACCTGTGTGCACACATACTCTCAACCATGCTCACACTCACTCACATATCTATGCACATACAATTACACACCCCATGCCCCGGAGCCCAATTAAAATTATTTTTTGGGGTATGTGCCATACTGTGCACATTATTGAATAATGTGGAGCATGCATGATGTACAGCTAGAAGTGCTGAAAGGAAGAGCACTGAAGGGGTTAATGTAGAACACATATAGGCAAATATTGTCAAGTATTTTATTCAAATGTTTGGAACTTGAACACAAAATCATCATTAAGTTTTCACAAAATGAGACATCTGTCGCTTGAAAGGAAAAAAATATTTCAGAAATATGTTTACAGAAATGTAAAAATATTAGGCATTGAGACAGATGTGAACATATTCAGTAAGTTGTCTTGTCTGTCAGTCTTCCTCCGAGCCGAAGATCTTATTGTACTCACTCAGCATGAGCTCTGCTATCTGGTTTTGGTATACCATGTGTATTGCCATGTTCCCTGTTTCGTTTTCAGCTCGCAGAAGGGTGGGTCCAAATACAATCCCTAAGCTTTGGGTTGACATGAGGTTCTTGGAGGCTTTGGCCACTATCCTGTGGGGGGGGGGGAGAGAGAGAGAAGGAGACAGAAAAAAATATTCCATTGGAGCTTTAAATAGTAGCTACTTTTGAATTATAAAGTTCTGCATTCTTATATTCTTTTTTATTTTTAATTTCAATTTAGAGAAGGAAAGTAAAGGCACTGGTTGGCTTTGACAAAAAGGGAATGCAACATAAGCAAAAATTTTTCTAGGTTCAGAGAAACAACATCTAAGGTAACTATTTAATCTTCTATTCTTTATACTTCATTGTATGGACATAGAACTGATGAGTTTTGGGGGAAAGAATTCATAGCTTGTTATGTCCATAGTACCTGGCTATTGTGGGTGCTCTATGAATGTTTGTGAAATGAATAAATGTTATATTAGACAGCAAAAGTTACTGTGCAGATTTAACAGGATTCAGACTTTAAAGTGTTTATAGTCAATGGAGGAAACAGGTGAGACATGGGTAAAATACATGAGAATCTAAATGAGAAAAGTAGAAAACTACATGTACAATTAATAATGGAAGGTAAACACAAAGGCTGAGAAAAAGTATTTTTAGTGTTTAGTGTGAGTAGAGATTTCCTGACAAATGGTAACCAGAATATGTATAGTAGAGAAGGTAGGATCTGAGACATTCAGATGTATGGTAGAATTCTAAGTCACTCCATTTATTTTGGTCAGCCAGTTTAGCTCACATCTCAACAAAATGCTAAATCCTGTGCAGATGGTTCTGCACTGGAAAAGAGTTCCACTGGAATCAGAAATGTTTGCTTATGTGAAGACTGTACAGAGAGCTGGAATACCAATGAAACATTAGGATGTGGTCTTCTTAATGATAATGCTTTCCCTGCTTCAACACAGGATTCTTAAAAAGAAAGTAAAGCCCTATTCTATAAATTGAGACTTTAAAATGGCTAATTATTAATATTGAGCCCTACTTGGTTTTATATTAAAATTAGGAAAAGAGAGAATTTAGTGATGGTAAAAGAGATAGGGGAGGACTGAACACTAAGAAATACTAAACTCTGCATTTGACCAGACATCCCAAGCCAAGGGATATATGAGCATAGAGAATAAATAGAGGCAAAGGAAGACTTCACTGCAAGGCAGTGGGGTCTTTGGTCTCAGAGTCCATTATTGAACACTGGCACAATGGTTGGATTTTAGAGGACTCTTTATTTGACCTGTGTGGTCATACCTAGTCCCCAGGCAGAGGAGGCAAGAAGACTTGTTTTATTTCCATCCTTTCACAAACATAAATCTCTAAAGTACCACTTCTGTGACCAGGAGGGTATGCCTTGTCGCTCCTGAAAGAGATTGAGAAGGACTATGCATTTGTGACTTGCCACAGCCCAAGTTCGTGGTCAGCAATTTCTCCAGAGATTTTTATACTTTTCCTTCTCAGCAAAAGTTCTGGCCTCAGAATCAACAGCATGGCCAAAGCTAGAGCAGGACACCCAGACTGAGTTTACATAGGGTGGAAAGTGGGGGTTTGGATCTGCAAGTCAGCACCCCTCTTGGGGAAGGGGTTCTACCTTAGCTGGTGGGTCATGGAAGGGAGCTCCTGTAATGCATTTCTGCCAGTGCATCCATTTCCTACATTTTCTGTGTACAAATGTTCATGTTGTGCTTCTATGCATGTGTAAGTATGGAACAATCATTCATCTCAAACCTGTATCCTCTGTGCCCATTTCTCTGCACACTTATTTGATTTTAATAACACCAACTTATGAATGCTTTAAAGTAATCACTTAGAAGTAGATTTTACTAAATAATATATAGTTTTGTATTTTTATTATATTTGCATTACTTAGGTTAAATTTCTTAGATTGGAATTATTTCCCGAGTTGGGAAAATCAAGTTACTTGCAATAACTCTTAGAAAAATCAAATGCAGTTAAGAAAAAAAGTAAAAAAAATGTGGATGTTTATTACACAGAATACATGCTATCTTTCTTATTCACTGTTACAAAGTGTATGCTTGTTTGTGGGTACATAATATATAGATTTTATTGGCAATTTATATATTAACTATTAACCAACTGGTGGTTGGTGTGTTGAGAAATTAGTCAAACTTTATGTTAGAAAAGATGCTGATAGTGAAGACTAATTTGGGGTAGAAGTTACCAACTACTAAACTATATGATTCATGCAGATAAGCAATATGTATTCTCATATTAACATTTAAATTAGATGAGATTCCTTTCTAATAGATAGTAGAAATAGATATTTCTAGGAATGAAGGCCCCCAAACTGGGGGTGCTTGGGAAAATGTTTTAATGCTATTATAAACTTTATTATTCAAATATGAATGCACCTAGTCTCTACCACAGTAGACCCTTAAATAGTTAAGGGCCACATAGAAAGTCAACCACAAGTTAAAAAAATAGCTAGAATACTATCAAACAAATTTTTAAAATCGTACATTTTTTTAACCTCAAAACAATGCATATTATAATTTCTGTGGGACAAGCTGAGCATTGCAAGCACCATTATTTCTGAAGGCTTCAACTTGTAAAACATATGTGCAGGACAACAGAGGCTATTGAAAGAAATAAGAGCTCTGCATGCCCCCCCCCAAAAAAAATCAATCTACTATCTAAGATGGAAAACTCCAAAAAGAATAAGTTGTATTTCCAGTAGCTTAAAATAAAGTTGGGTTGTATTACTGGAATGGGGGGAATCTGATTCAGAAACCAAATACATTTTTACTATGTGTTTGGCACTATCTTCAGGACAGCTTTCACAAAAGTGAGTTCTGCAACACACTATTTCTGTGATATATTTCACAAAAATAGCATTCCAGAGTAAAATAAGTTTTGAAGAAACTGTATGCCATTTGTTCTTGAAAATTCACAGTGCACAATGGCATAATAAAGGCTCTGACAAGTCCTACAGAAAGTACCTCTGTTTATCTTGGTATGACTTGTGTGTTCCCCAACTTACTTGAATATTATGGATTTTCCTGAGTGACAGCGAGGAGCAGATATAACGTGTTGCTCTAGTTGCTTTGCTAAGGGCCTACTAAATAAGTCTGAACACATTATGGACTCTACCCTCCTTGACACCCTGGTTCCAGGACAATGTAGCAGCTCACTCAAGGGTCAGATGGTGGTCCTTCCCAGTGAGTCCCACCCCTCTGGCAGGGCTCAGCGTTCATTAGGCCTTAGACTCCACAACAGTGATATAAATTTCAAGTTACCAGTTTAACCTGTTTTCATCAGAAAACAAAAAGATACTCCCCTTCTATGATAAAAATAAAAAGCTAAAATGGAAAAGAGCACATCGGAAAGAGAAAGGAGGATGCAAAGGCTTGGCTGAGAGATTAACAAGCAGTGGAGGATGGATGGGTAAGAAGGTGCAAAAACATTCGGACCTTAGGTCAATATTTGGAAATTCCTCTGCATGTTTGTTTACCCATCATTAATTTACTCCTAAGAAATCCTCAGAGCAAAGTACCTGATTTCTAAACAACATGAAGAGCACAAAGTTTAGTGCCTGTGAACACTCAATAATTAGGAAAAAGACCCCAAAGTGCAACTCTTGAAAAAGACTATTTATTAATACTGTTTAGTTTAAAATAGCCTGACAAAAATAAATATGATTTTATGAATTTGTTCATGAAACAGAGCTTGATATATACTCATTGTAAAAGGAATCGTTATACCACTAAGTAAAATTCAAGTTTATAAAATCTTGAAGTGGGTAAGAACTCATTTTTCTGGCAAGAGCTTAAAAGGATGATATACAGTTTACAGCATAAAAAAGGAGAGGAAATGCCAGAGCTACTTTTTGTCGAGCCCAAATGGAAGTTGCAATGATCCATCAATTTAAGATTATTTTAGAAACAATCTATAATCCAGTGCTACAGATGTTGGACTCCAGACAAAAAAAATCCTCACAGCCTTATACTGGGTAAATTTTTCCAAGAGTGAGCTGAATTGCTAACCCCCCCAAATTTCTTAGTTGCTTAAAATTATAGCCAAATGACTCAAACTGAAAAAGAGCTTTACTGTAAAACTCAAAATTAATGCTGAATTAAGAAGACCAAAACATTTAATAATAGTCCATCTCTAAACAGATATATGGATGCAAACTTCCTTTTAAGTTTGAGTTTTGCTGTGGCCATAATGACTTGCAAAGGAAGTTGAAAGCCACATAATTGCCTGCAGGACAACTCTCAAGTTATTGGAAGTGTATTAAAAGTGTTCCCTTCCCTATCTCTGTAATGCTGTGATTTTCCAACACATGTAACTTGAAGGTGGTTTAGCTTGAACAGGGAAAGTGTGGTGGTAAACGTACTCCTGCCATCAAGTCACACCTGGCTTGCAAAATACAGCTCAGCCACCGTATGTGAAATGTTCATTGTGACTTTGACCACTTAAGTGAAAGAGGCTGTTAAAAATAAAATAAATTTTCAATGTGCTTAATTTATGTTTCTTATGTGCTATAGCTACTTTGGGGGTAATTCATGCTCTCCCTATGCTTGCCTATCCTCAATTTGTACAGCATCAGTGTAGACATGATGCTGTCTACACTGGATATTTTATATATAAATATATATAAACATTGAAATATATAATTTATATATATAATAATTGGGGACTTAGCAGGGATTCCACCTTCTCCCTTAAAGTCATGGCTATTATCAGAAAAATTTTTAAATATTGTAAAAACAGAGGAGTACTCACCAATGACTTTGTATTTAACACTAATGTATTTCAAGGTGGTTATTTACTGGTAATTCAGCTATTTGTATATGTTAATTTATAAATCAGTTTAAATTAATTGTAAAGTCTTTAAATTTAGATCTAAATATCATATTATTATTTTCTAATAATAATATCATATTATTATTTTCTAAGCAACTATTTTCCTAAATTGGAATTATTGCTATATTCATACATTTTTGCTTTTTTTTTTTACATAAAGTTTACCATTTAAAAAAAATTTATTTACTTATTTTTAGAGAGAGGGGAAGGGAGGGAGAAAGAGAGGGAGAGACATA